GAATACGTATTCATACAGGGAAAATATTTTTTAAAAAAACCTTATTTTTAAAAAGTAAACGCTATCCAGAAATAACTCATCGATTATGTCGAATCGATGTAGATATGATAATTTCGACACTAATTTGACGTGAATTCGACGTCTAATCGACGGTCATTTCTTACAAGGTTTAACAATTAACAATTTACTCGTAAAAAATAAAATAGACTATATTTCTCAAAATTATATAATATATTATATTACTCTCCCTCCTTTCCTCTCGAAAATTCTGGAACGTATTATCCATAAGCAAATGAGCCAGTTCGTTTACGCAAATAATATAATTCCAGAATGTCAATCAGGCTTTCGTAAACATCATAGCATTACTACTTCTCTCCTTCATTTATCAGATACTATCTTGCGATCTATTGATAATGGCTCATTGTCAGCTCTTGTATCTTTAGATTTTTCGAAAGCTTCCGATACTGTTAATCATAAAGTATTGACTGTCATAGTTGCACCATTATGGCATATACGTTTCCTCATTGTCTCTTATATACTCATTCCTCTCAAATCGTCCTCAGCAAGTTTTACGCATACTTCCTATCCTAACTTTTCCTTAATGTCCAAAATTTCCTCAGGAGTGCCTCAGAGCTCTATTCTTGGCCCTCTGCTATTTAATTTATTTGTTGCTGATTTACCTCCTTTACCTATCTCTTCCAGATTATACATGTATGCTGATGATGTTCTGCTCATCATATTATTTTCAAACTCTCAGAAGTGCTCTTCATAACAGACATACTAAACAATGACTTTCAATAAATCGTCGAATGGTCAACATTAAGTGGATTATATCCACTTAATCCCTCCAAATCCTCTCTACTAATTGTTGGCTCTTCTACCTCACTCTTGCGCCTTCCTGTATTTAATGTATTTATTCACATTCCTCTAACTCCCAGTTCAACTATCAAAATCCTTGGCATGCACCTTGAGATCAATCGAAAACCATGTTATTGCCAAATGCAGACTTGCATATTTCCGCCTCAAACTATTATATCCGTTACGCCATATTATGTCTATCCTCTCAAAAAATGTAAGTTACAATCCCTAATTATATCGCTGTTTGATTATGCAGACACTGTATATATTCCATGTCTTAAAAAAGGTCATCTTCATAGAAAACAACTAATACAACATTCCTGTCTTTGTCTCTCCTATGGTTTTAGAAAATACGATCATATTACTCTTTGTTTCCTACGCTTTGGATGACTGAATATTTTTCAACGCTTTAACGTCCATTTATGTTGCTTGACCTATAGTGTTCTGTGCACCAATACTCCTAGATATCTTCGTAAACTAATTTCCTTTAATGTTTATTCTCACTCAAACTCTCTTTCTGATACTCGTCATCAATATCAAATCTCATGTCCTACTCATCACACATCTAAATATCAGGGAGCTTTTTCTTATACGGTAATGAAATTTTATAATGCTTTACCGTCAGTTATTCGTTCTTTGCCTCGGTTATCTACGTTTCAATCTGAGACAACTCGATACATTTCCTTAAATGTTTAATTTTAATTAAATATTGCGAAATATATTGGAGAAATATTGCGAAGAATATCACTACGTCGACTCGCCATCAGAGGTCTATCGATATTCGCAAATTCTTGCAAGTGCTAAGACACGCGTATATTTCTTTATATAGAATCTCGATTTAATAACTTACCAAGGCGTATAAGGTAGGCTTCCACTACAATGCCTTACTGATGAGTGCAGTAGTGGAAGCCGGGACGAAACGCCAAAAATTACGTGATATTCTTCGCAATATATAATATTAGAATAAATTATCAGATTTAGATTTTAAATTGTAATTTGACTCTTATTCGCCCTATTTAACGTGTTAATTATTATTTAATTTTAATATTTGAGCAAATATTGTACTGTACAATTATCGCCTAACAACTATGTATTACTATTATTACTATTTTATTCTGCTCATTTTCTATTTTTACTCTTGATCGTTTTTAAATTATGTTTTGTGCATTAAACTTAAATATAGTAATTCTGTGTATTTATATGTACTGTAATAGTTCTGGTCGTACATTTAAATCTATACACAGGTACGACTTTAAATCAGCTATTAAAACACAGAATTTATTAATTCTATAAATTATTAATTAATGTTAATTATTTCAAATAAGATTTTTTTTATGAAAAATATTTCCTTGTATGAATATTTTTTACGCTCACTGTATTGTATATAGTTCGTTGCATATGTAATATATACAGATTGCGTTATGAAAGAGTTGATACAAACAATGTTATCACTTGTTTTATTATATAAACTTCCGGTATCAGTTTTTTCCAAATAATATCCCGACTGTAGAAAAAAATATTTCGCAATTACCGTGAATATGTAATGTTGTCAATAATTTTTACAGAGTATGCAATAAACAAATATTCATATTTTTTATTATGTCGTAATTTTGCACGTGTAGATAAAGATTTTTACAAAGACGTTATTATTAGTTTTATTCTAGGTAATTAAACTTTTTGTACTATTCATCTTTTCTCCATTTCTCCGATATCTATAATTATACTTGATTCACTTTTAAGTGTAAAAAGTATAACTTAATATAAATGTAAAGAATAGATTTACTTAATATTATAAATTAAAAATTTTATTGTTTAAATTAAGTTCTATTAACATAATGTTTTCTCGTTATTTTTGTACCATTATAAGAATCTGAATGTATTTTCTTCTTGATAATCTCTTTAGCAATATAAAAGAAAGATGTACAAAACAATATTTCACGGAAAGAGAATTGAAGAGAATAATGAAAGACGTTTCTTTTGTACACAATATCGCGTACGCGATATGTATACAGTGGCCAGATAGAGCTTCCTGTTCCTGATTCTAAATTTCTCCGATTAAAATTCCAGACGTGACAGATGTGATGTATCTGCAGTATCTACATTTACGTAAAAAGATACGATTGTATTTCTACAGCATTAGATATAGCTCTGCTTTCAAGGTTTCAATTTAAATACGGTATTTTTTTATTACAGATAAATGATTAAAAAACAATACTGATTACTATAATATTATTTATAAATAACATTTATAAATATTAAATTAAATGCTATAATCTAAATTTGAAATCAATTATTATTTATATATAGCTTAGGATAAAAAAATTACTTTACGTTTTTTCAATCAAATAAACGATTTGATTTTTATGTATTAATGAGATTGATAAAATTTATGTAAATAAGATTATGTGTGGTAGAGATTTATATTATTTTTATACTTTATCATTTTTCAGAATGGTAAAAATATTTGTTAGATAAAATTTTTTTTCTGTTTTTCTGTTCTTTACGTGTCTTGCTGAATAGAAATGAATTGTGAATATGTATGAAAGAATCACCAAATAACTCCTATGAGTAATATGTGCCGTGATATTATCCACATATTCACACGCATCCTTTTTGAAACCTGCATCTCCATAACAGGATTGCGAATGCAGTCGGTGCTCATTTAGTGCAGTGTAGATATAAGTGTCACGTACTTATACGAATGTGACAATATCGCTTGTAATTACGTAAAGCGTGATGTCCATTCATTTGCTTCCATAAAGTTATTATTATTTAGTTATATATAATGTATGGAGAAACTAATTGTTTAGGCATATACCATATATATGACTCGGAAATCTATTCAATTGTCAATCTGTTTTAACTCTAATTTGGAATTTTGTCATAAAAAACTTATATATATATATTTACTGTGTTATTTAATATTATTTATAACTATCATTTACTTATGTTTTTATTTAAAATTTTACTTTGGATAAAACTAATCATTTCGATTTGTATTTTATCTACGCTAAATCATTTTATTCAAATAGTATATAATTAAAAATTACATTCATTAATATTATAAAGTTAATTCACTTCAACTTTTCTTCTAGATTTCACTTAAATAAAATTATCTAAACCAGTTAATAGTTAAGGAAAGATCAAATATTCATATGCATTAATTATTCATATTGCAAAAAAGAGATCAATTTTCGTTTAATAGCATTGCATTAGAGAAGATAAATATTTATATCACCATATCTGTTTTTTATACATGTAATGTAATCTTATTAAAACTATTAATTATTCGATATCTCAATTAATACGTATTAAAAGTAGAATCAAAACCTTAATTATAAAACCTTAATAAGTACAAATCATCATATCTGCAATTTTAACTGTATACAAAATTAACATGGAATTTTTCCCTAAATATTTAATTTTTTTTTCATCATATACAAGCCAAAATAATGCATAAATAAAATTGCGTGTCCATTAAATTACAAACGAACGACGTTTGATATATCAATATCACTCAGCTTAAATATACCATATATATTATTGAATAAGGAGTGCTTATCAAAATTACGAGAACATCAGTTATCTTTTTTACGCCAGAAAAATTAATTTACTAAAGAGGAAAAAACAAAGAGTTCTCATCATTCTTAAGATGTGTTTGTATTATAATTATATTTTCATTGTTATTTCATTGTTTAACCTACAAATACATAAATGTTACTGCTCTATAAATAATATCTTCTTCGTTAATTTATAAATAAGCATTTCAAATAATTTTTTAAACTATAGATGCAAAGTATACGTTCTTTGTCCACTAAAAAACGATTCAAAATGGCTTTTAATTATGGATTAGTATGAAAATAATTTCAATCGTCGTCTGTCTGTAATTTAATAGACGACGCAATTTTAGCAAAGAGAAAACAGTATTTTAATACAAACAAATATATATTTTAATATAGATATTTATATAAATTGTATAATATATGATTCAAAATTTAAATTAGAGATAAAAATAAAAGACTCTAAAGAATTTTTATGGGATAATATATAATAGTATATTTATCGATATGATGTTGATATGATCAAAATGTCACAGAAATGAAAATCACAAAGGAATTTTATTGTAGAAATAAGATACTCACGAAATATTTTCGAAGATACTTTTAAAATGCGGTGTTGATTGTGAGATATAAAATATTACCTAGAGTATATATCTAGATAATTAATCCACGAAAAAGAGAAAAAAGGAAAATAAAGAAAGGGAACAGGATGTGAATTGACCAGAATCCACTAAGCTGCGCACCAGCTGACAGGTTCGTCCAGTCAATCCCACGACATCATTTGACTCCTCCTGGATGGTTTGTGACTTCTTATTATTTTTTCTTGATCACAAAAAAAAAAAAGAGAGAAAAGAAACAAAATGAGTCACTCACGCGTACGCGACGCACACGCGTGCGATCTCTGTTACTCGTTAGCGTGTCACGCGCTACCACATACCAGCCGTGCCTTTCGAGCCGAGTGTACGATGTAAACTGATTATTGCTGTGTACGGTACGCTCGTACGTTCACTCGTACGAGATTCCCACCAGCTATCCGACACGAGTTCAATTGGTCGGTGAAGCACCGGACAGCGACGAGTCGCACGTTACAAGTTTAAAAAGAAAACTCCCTATGAGATTCCTTTGCAGGCTTATCTAAAACTCGGCTCAACTCGGCTCGTGAGGTCGTGAGCCGAAACGCTTCTATCTCTCCGCCGCGGCACATAATTATCAATCAAGTAAGAAAGTTTAATGTGTGTGTATGTGTATGTGTGTGTGAAATATTGGGTTGGAAAAAAAATCCTTTTACATATATGTAAATATGTAACAAACTGACCTTTCCTAACCTATCATTTATTGCGAAATTTTCGTCGCAATTATGTCATTCAATAGAGCAAAGTTTCAGCTTAAAAAATCTGTTTTTTTTTTTTTTAATTACTGTATGATGATTTTTAACGAAGTTAGGAGCAATCAAAATCAGAATGCTTCTTTACTTACTTTTAACTCGCGAATAATTCAGGAACAATGAATTATAAGAACATTTTAAAAAACCGATTTTGTATGGAAAGTTTCAAGCTTTTACGATAGGTAGTCAAAAATTTTCGCAAATTTTTTTGAGTATGTGAAACCCACAAAGTGGAAAAAAAATTTTCCTTTTTTTTTACCTTTTGTAGTTTTTTATATATAAAAATTACCAAATTTATAGAAACTCAAAAAATATAATAACCTTTCGAGTATGAGATGTCCAGCTTTATAAACTCTTCTTTTTTTAACTTAAATTTTGTTCATTTTTAACAAAGATATTGTAAAATAAATATCCTTTTACATATACAATATGTGTAAAAGGATTTTTTTCCCAATATAATCAATTTTTCACATAAAACCCTCAAGTTCTCATAACTTTTACCAATTGTACAATAAATAATACTAAAAAATTTTTAGATAAAAGTTGGAATATTACTGTGCAATACACATACACACACACCCAGAAATAAAATAAATATTAATATAACGATATAATTAAGAAATCGATTTATTATATAGATATAAATTTAATATAGTCGATTTTTAAATAAAACCCGCAAGTTTTCGCAATTTTTTTAAAGTGCAAAAAATTACATTATAGAATTTTTAGTTAAAACTTTGGTACATTGCTGACCGGAAGTATAATATCCGGAAGTATAATAAATATTAAAAATAAACGTATCTCTTAAATATCAAAAATTATTGCATTGAACTAATATTTTAATTAATTATAAATAAATTAAATATAAATTATAACTAAGAAATAGTTCTCTCTCTCTCTCTCTCTCTTTAAATATAATATTTAAATTAACAAAAATTATTATTAATTATTTATCTAATTCAGGTTCTGCTAAAAGTTCAGTAACATCTTTAGTCAAGTTTAACAGGCTTTTCGCATTGTTTGTTTGTGAAGACTCTATAAGTACGAATCGGAAAAAATCAGAAGCCTTTCCATGACATTTTTTATATTTTTACGAAACTTGATTTAGCTGAATCTAAATTAGATAAATAATAATTAACAATAATTTTTGTCAATTTAAACACTATATTCAAAGGGAGAATTATTTTATAGTTATAATTTACATTTAATTCATTTATAGTTCATTAAAATATTAGTTTAGTGTAATAATTACTGAAACCTGTATTACCGATAAAACTCACGTTTTTGACGTTTTTGTTTTTGTCCAATTTCTTCAATAATAGTTCAGTAATAGTTTCACAGTATAAAAATTCTTCTTCCACGATTAAATACATAATACTAAGCGCTGATCTATGGCTCTGTGAATCGAAATATTAATAGTTGAAGTTGACAGATATTCAAGTTAGAAAATCTGTCACATCAATGGCATGGAAGGGTTACACAAATATAATATATAACATATATTCTTTGTTTTATAAACACAAATAATCTACTTTAAAAATTCTCTGCTTTAAAAACATAGTCTCTGCTTAAAAAATATAAATTTTCTACTTTGAAAACATATTATTTTCTATATAATTTTTGTTTTTACGATAAAGAATTTGTTTTTAAAACAGAGAATTTTTGTAATTAAATTAGAAAATACTTATTCTAGCCTCACATATTCCCATGTCCTTCTATGTTCAATTCGGTGCTTCATCACTACCATCGTGAGTCACTAAAATTCGCTTTTATCTATTAAAATGGTTCAAAAAAATTGTTTTTTAATTTACAAATATATAGATTCAATTTCCTAGAATAAACGTGTAAACTTCATTTTGGAAAATAAATGTATAATAATATAAGTTATAATTATCGAAAGACTCACATAAGTTGAGTGTATGTGTGTATAAATATTTATAAACATATGTAAGAGAGAGCGAATAGATTCAGACAACTAGATGGAAATTATATATAAAATATGTCCATATATGTTCATACTATATATCCTTATTTTTTTTGCAAAATTACTTTTTAGAATATAATAAAAGTAATAATAATAATAATGAGAAAACGTCAAATAACTAAAGAAACAATTTTCGTATATTTCTTCTTATTGCGAAAAATATTACCTCGGCTGGGAGTTTAGATTTGAATATTGTTTATTTACGTGCCTGAAAGAAAACGTTTATCACTTCACATATACCAGTTATTGCAAGGAATATTACTAAGGCCTTGATAGTCTAACTGACTAGGATACTTGCGCGTAAAGCAAATCTAGGTTCGACTCCCGGCCGAGGTAATATTTTTCGCAATAAAAAGAATTATTTCCAGATTTAGTATTTTCAGATTTTGATAGTTTAACATCGATATAAGATGCCAAAAAGAGCATCAATTAATTATTAAATTGTTAATTAATTAATTCGCGATAGTACTATAATAGTTTAATAGTTGCGTTTGAAGATCAACAATTGTTCGGCGCAGTTTGGAAAGATTACACATATTAGTATATAAATTCACGCGAAATTACATATATAAGTAACTAATTGTAAGATTCAAGCTAGACTGTTATAGGCTTTATATTCGTACTAAAAATAAATAATTTTCTACAAATACTTTGTAGAAAAAATTTGTTTTATACTATATAATGTTAACATGAAGAGAGAGAATACATCTTTGTTTTAAGAAGCATTAAATAATGTATTGCATAAAGAAAAGATTAAGTTAAAGATTAAGTTATACGGGTACTCCAAATTTCCTTTGTTCAAAGAATATTCCAAAAAAAATTAAATAATATGATACACTAACTTTTATGTTATCTTTTTATTTTTATTGCATTTTCTAAAATTACCTCTTAAATATATTTCAAAATATATTTCTTTTGTATAAGAGAAACTAGAAATATTAGATATATTTTGATTAGAACTTCTAATAAAAGACGCATTGTGACTAATACATGCATATCACTGTGACTTAAGATATCGATATAATGTCGAAAGCATTTATCTTACTGACACTTTTAATTATAGACACTTTTAATTTTGTAGTTTTCGTTGAGTTACAGAATACGATTTTTTATTAATATTGATAAACTTACTTAACAATCGTCGTTATGGAGTTACAGAATATAGGCTTTATAAGTAGGATAAGCTAGTCATCCTGTCACCGCGCAAATCGTAAATATGATTACACAAATATGTGTGTTTTTATTATCTCTCTCTCTCTCTCTCTCTCTTAGCGCTGTTCACATTAACTCTCATATTAGCAGTCGCCAAATAACAAGATATAAGCAAGTATACCTCAGAGAACAAATGTAAGAATTCTTAAAAAAGAAGAAAAAACAAAGTATAATATCATCTAGTATACTATTAAATTATATATTACACTGACGCAGGCTTTAACTTCAAATGACATACGACAGAGTGTATTGTTTTGTCAATGGGCTAAACAATGATTGCGCAATGATTATCAATGCTGCGTTCAGCATTGACAAAGCAGAGAAAGCAGTTTTGCAACTGTTATGAAATTCTTTAATATGATTGGTCTTGTCCTTACTTTATTCGATCTAAATGTATAAACTAATCATATTCAAGAATTTTACAATAGTTGCAAAGCTGCTTTTTCTGAATGCAGCCAATATTAACATGATCAAACGGGGGACACTTCAACATTGATTTATTAACTTTTAATCCCTATAACTTGTAAAGTAGTACTCGTACTTAATAAAAAATGTTTTATTATGTTTTAGAGAGAGAGAGAGAGAGAGAGAGAGAGAGAGAGAGAGAGATTTTGAAATCAGCTACATATATATAAATGTGAAATAAAACATCCAAGTTTCAATTAAAAAAATTTTAGATACCTCGACCTTAAAGATATCTTCTCAAGATCATCATATTCTTTTTCCCTAACAACTTTTGTCTGAAACATTTTTCTTGTATATTTTTATAAAATTCTCAAGATATTTCAATACATCGATTAACGTAAAATAATTCATTTTGGGTGTGTGTGGTGCGCGTATATGTTATATACACATACATGAAGCTGAGTAAATATTCTACATTTTGAAAGAAAATGAATTTTTGAAACATGCTTACCGTTGATAAAAAATATTATCTCAAAATATTCTACATATATGGCTGTAATCGTTAGAAGAATTACATTACATATCTTTTACATATATCATATCGTATAATGGAATCTTCATATGGAAGATTGATACACCGAAAACTAACTCCCTCAGACACGAAATACATATTTATAAAACGAGTAAAATTCCATACATACTGCTCTGAAAAATATCATACGTAGAGGGAAATACCTAATAAAAAAATTTTTAGTGACGTTATACAGCGTGTCAGTCACTTAGTAAATAGTTCTCCACTGCAATCATCATAGAAGAAAGAAATATCTTCGAGAATGGTTTGTGCAAACTTTCAATAGAAAGTGAATAGATCTTTTTGTCCATCGGCGCGTTTGATTCATGGTAGAGAACTATTCTTAAAATGTGATTAGTCACAAAATGCATAATAATGGTGTTGCGAATTTACAAGACAGAATTACTTTGAAGGATAATTAGGGTTAAAAACTTGTTTGCTACCCTAGACGCATATATTTGCTTACCTTTTTTGGTGTTCTTGAAATAATTAATTATTTCACATATAAGCCTTTTAAATTTTTAGATAAACAATATTTCTACACACACACACACACACACACACATTAACAGGGGTTTTTTTTTAAAATTAATAATATATTATTAAAAAATAACAAAATGATACAAAAGCGCAAATGAGAGTCAAATCATAATAACAAAAGACATCTTCATAAACAAACACAAATATATTAGTATAAAATTTTAAATATTAAAAGTTATAAAAATTAACGCTACAAAAATATTGTTAAAATATATTGTTCATGTACAAATTTATTCTGTTCGACATTTGACCTATCTTTTTAAGTACATATATTTGGCTGCTTTTTCTTTACAAATTGCACATACAATACTATCATTTCTTTATAATTATCATGTTTATAGTATAACATCTTACAGTACACATTTTTGTTGTTACAATATGAAACATTTCATTTCGATTACAAACAAAAATTTTATAAAATCTATTTGTTTCTTCTAAAATTACGATTTGTTTTGGACCGTCGATTTTTAAAAACAAGTAAATAATAGGCCGACTATTTGTTTCTATCTTGACACTTTTCTGAACTTCCAATATCCCTAAGAACTTTTTTATCACACTGTAAAAGATACTGATAGAATTCCTCGCATGTCATTTCAAAATTATATTTTGTCTTTATAATATCTGATACAGTTTCTACTTGCAGTTTATTCCTTTCTGAACTCTATTGAGCTTGTAAGAACGAGAATATTCTTTCTACATTTGCGTTATAAGTTAGCAAACAGAAAAAGTATCGTGCTATTTATTTCAGTTCGTTACACTTCTTTCCACCTTCTGACTTTTCAAAAAAATGACACTACAACTTTTATTACAATTGCTGATATTTTTAATACATCTTTTATAAACTTTTGAAAGCAAAGAAATTCATTAAATAATTTTTCATCACTAATCTTTATGTTATGAAAACGTAAAAATTTTTCTATTGATTCTATATCTGACCATTGTAATAATTTTTCTGCTTTGATTATAATGATTTTTAACACCTATCCAATCAAAAACATTCAGTTCTTCCAGAGGTGCGTCCACGATTCTAAATAATTTTTCATTGTTACATAAAAATTAAGAACTTCTGCGATGAATTTTTCAGTACTTTGTCCAAAATTTGTCGCAATACTGTGAAATCAGTGAACTGAAATCTGAAGTGTCTGAAGAGAACTGTGACGACAACGTAAATAAGAAAACCTAATCAAAATATGCGCGGCGATTCGGCGTTCATTTGGCAACAATGAGCTGTGTGCCAGCACGCAGAGATGCCAGATGGCGCCGATGACAGACGATTGCAGCATGCGGATAAATTTAATTCCCACTTGCAGAGCTGCCAATCTTCAATGTCAATACTATACACTTACACGCCAAAGTTTTTTTTGCTATCCAGTCAAAATATTTCTTTTTTATATAAAACCCCGGACTCTCATGATTATCCCGAACGCTTTTTAAAAATCCCCCTCGGACGTCATAAAAAAAGAGGACGGATGGCAACCCTAAGTATAATACATTTACGACACTTATGTAAAAACTTTGTAGTATTTGATACCCTTACGACTATATCGCAACTGTTCTTGGAAGTATAAAATATAATATATACATTTTTAATTCAATATATAAAAGCACTTTAGTAAGTAATTTATACTAAACAATTTTTTCGAAATTTGAATTATTTTATTATTTATATTATTATAGGTATACATTTAATCTTCGATGATATTGATAGAATTAAATAATTTTAATGGAAAGTGCTTTTAAATTCGATGTACATTATAATGTGCGCTGAATCTGGAAGGAGTTAAAAAAGAGCCAACGTTACTGTACCTGCAGTCACTCCTGTGGATTCAACCGACAGCTATAATATTACTAAATTTCCGAGAAAAGTATTCTAGATTATGAACTATTACGTTCTAATTCAACGAGATAAAGCACGTGAAAGATCGATAAATTTGTATTCAATTGATTGGCTCTATCTATTGATTGAACCTATTGCTAACGCTATTCCCCTTCGCATTGTATCTAGGATTTAATTGACTTATGAGTAACGCATCTAAATTTCTTATTTTGTATCAAATATATATAGTTTTAAATCCCCCCTCCCCCTTTTACAGGTGTCCTTAATATACTGGAATTGTAAAAAAATTTGAGGAAAATTAATATTTTGATCCATACATTATAAACTCTATTGCTACTTTTTTTTTACAATGATAATTGATTGTAAATGGTTGAAAATATTAGATCCAAAGAGTATAATATTATTTTTATAATTTTATATAATTTTATTATATGTTTATATATTTCATATTCTTTCTCAATGTTATATATTTCATAATCTCATCATACGAAATCATTAGTATATTTTTTACAAACATTATAGACACTATGTTTAGACAAATAATATATTAAACAAAAAGGAACATGTCAGTCAGATCATGAAAATATTGCTGCATTGCATTGGTCAAAACAATCGCGTCAACAATCAATGACATTCATCAGCTTGTGCTCATGTTTCTTTAAAAATAATACTATGAAACGCGCGCGCAATGTTCGGACTTTATCTGCCTAGCATCAAATTTATGCTAACGTTTCAGAACGAGAATATCGAATGGCTGGTAAGAAAGGCGGAGAACGAGAGAACGCGAGGTTCAAAATCGATCGAGAGCTCCAGCAGCCTGCACTGATTCTAAAACCTGTTTCTCTGGTGTACTGTTTACGAAGATTTCCTACAAAAAAAATCTGTAATTTGACGATAAAGCTTCAATACAAAGTATATATACGTGTGAAATTTATAATGTATGCACGAGTGAAACTATGTGAAAAAAAAAGGACAATAAAGAAATTATTTGCTCGATCGTGCTCGAATAATCTGTATCAGATGGACAGTACCAAACCCAAGCCTTTCGAAAACATTCCAGGGCCGAGAGCCTTACCTGTTATTGGAACGTTATACAAGTATCTGCCTTTTATCGGTAAGAATATGCAGTATTTTGATAATTAATTTTAATTTTGATAATTAATAAAATTTATTATGCAAATATTGCAAATTTAATATTTTTGTTAATTCACTTTCTGTATTTTCCTTTTTAAGCTAGGAATGGATTCCAATTCTACAACTTTGCTGTTACATTTTTGCATATTACCAAATACAATATTTGCTCATTTATAAAAAGGACTTAGTAATATCAGCTAACTATCAGTTACTAGTTTAAACTGTTATTGTTAAAAGCTGGCTATTTGCTGTTACTATTAAAAGTTGGTCATTTAAGATAAAATATATTTGTTGTTAACATCCAGTTTTGTTAGTTAAAATTAAAAATATATATTTAATACAAGTAGAGCTAAGTGAGTGGTAGCTATTCTTCACTATCTTAGGCTGTGTTCTAAAATTTACTGCCAGTACTAAAAATCTATAGTGCACGTGACGTAAACTATGGATTTTCAGTATTGGTAATAAATTTTTTTGGCACATAGCCGCGTAATCGAGCGTTCCATTCGCAATTATTTCTGGAATGTTGTCGGCTGCTTGCGCGTAATAAAGACATTTCATGTCGGACACCTTTGAAACATCGTCATTTTTTTTAATCTGTTGACTGCTGACATATTCTACAGATAAAAATATGACATTTGTGTCGTGAAAAAAATTTTAGATTTTTTAAAAAATGTTATTCACTCTTGTAAGAATATTATAAAAAAAGATCTCAAATTTTTTCGCTAAACACGTGTCTCATATTTTTATCTGTAAAATATGTCAATATATTAAAAAGAATAAAAATGATTTCATAGGGGCCCGGTTTGACGTGGAATGCCTCAATACCGTATTGGCGACATTGTGAGGTATTAAATGTTTTTTTAGTCTTGAAACACAAACTGCACTGAACTACCGTAGTAATATCACAAGTTAAATTGATTAGTAATTTAACAATTTTATGCTTATAAGCAAGGAATGGAAGTAACTCGTTACTTGTAACAAAGTTACTTTTTAGGTAACTTTACTGATAACCGCGTTATCTTTTTTGATAACTGTAACTTTAATGTAATTACATTTTTTGGTAACGATAACAAATGTTATTGTTACTTTTATCATCATTTAGCACACGATTGGACACGGTTCGATTGGAATCATTTTACAATTATATGAGAAATATCTCAGTTTGCTGCATATTTTACAGGTTTCAAAATTACGAAATTATGTTTTTAAGAAAAAACTAAAAAATAAAACTAGTGTCATTATTGTATATTGTTTTTATGACCAATTAAACAAAAATATTGTAAAAGTATATGTTTAGACTAATTTTTCAAAAATAACGGAAAAATAACAAAAAACTTACTTTCCTAAATAATGATAACTGTAACGAGATACTTTTAAAAAATTGGTAACTAGACACTAACTGTCCTTATTATGAGGACACATTTTAATTGCCACGATTATATTTTAGTTGCGTTAGCTAATCTTTTTTCTGCCTATAGTCATTTATCTCTCAAATACCGATGAATTATTTTCCTTATCAAATATATTTTATCAAAAAAATATATGTTAATGGTACAGGTGAATACAATTTCACGAAGCTGCACATAAACGGCTTATTAAAACTGAAACGTTATGGACCTTTGGTACGTGAGGAAATAGTATCAGGTCAACCAATCGTGTGGGTATTCCGACCAGAAGATATCGCGGAAGTTTTCAAAGCTGAGATGGGTCTGCATCCTAAGAGAAGATCACACTTGGCTCTTCTCAAGTATCGAAAAGATAGAAGCAATATCTATAAGAGCGGGGGTCTTTTACCAACGTAAGAATTGTTGTCGAATTTTAAAATAAAATTTTAATCTATCGCACTACGATATATCACGATATTTGTAAAAATCGGTAAAACTGCTTTCCAGTAAAAATAGAATTTAAAAAATACATAAATTAATGAGAAATAATATTTTATTCATTATTTAGAAATGGCATCGAGTGGTGGAGGCTGCGTCGCGAATTTCAGAAGGTCCTTAGTAAACCATGTAATATTATCGATTACCTGGAAGATACTGACGCAGTTGTCCAAGAGTTCGTGCAGATCTGCTCCCGCGAAAAATCAAACGATTTCTTACCTTTATTTTCACGTCTTTTTCTTGAACGTAATATTCTTCCATTTGGAAATTATTTTATATATTAATATTAATTAATAATTTTAGCAAAAAATATTTGTAATATTAACAAAAGGAGTGTTGTGTATAATTTCATTAGCATAAATTTTCAGTGATTTGCCTTGTGACTTTTGATGTAAGGATGGGAAGTTTATCGGAAGAAGAAAAACATCCACATTCCAGAAGTTCAAGGATGATAAAAGCAGCTCTTATATCAAATAGCGTTACTTTAAAATTAGATAACGGTCTAATGCTTTGGCGATTTTTTGAAACACCATTATATCGACAATTGCGTAAGGCGCAGAATTATATGGAGGAGTAAGTACACAATTAGATCGAGAAATAACATAACGCATATCTATATATATATATATTTGTACAAATATATATTACGGGCAAAGTCCGCAAGTGGACAATGTTGATATTGCCAGAGTTATCTGTTGTACAATGTCAGCATTAACCGGGTAAAGTCTTGACTTTGTCTCCGTAACATATATAAACAATAAAATATAAGAAAAGGTCTACAAATGAACAAAATATAATAGATACGTTCGATAGTACTTCTAATTTTACAATATAAAAGATGGGACAATTTGGCTTACTTATTGTTAGCCATATTCAACCATTGTAAAGATTTAATTCATATAAACAAAGAATTAAAAAAAACATTAGATATAATACTAAAACATAAATGACGCAAGGAATATCATAATTTTATAAACAATAATTTTCTGCTTTTGTTACAATGACCTAAGCTTACTTGCTAAGTGCTTGCGAGTTCATTCTAAAGAATTAAGTTTAATGCTTGAATAAAATATATAACTTTATTCAAACGCATTTTTTATATCAAATTTTGTAAAAATATATTTAAGGACATTAATTTGACGTCATTTAGAGTGTTTTTACCAAAATTTATGAAAATCGGACGTTGGATGTTTTCGGAAGTTTATCCGACATATTTAAAATCAATTTTTATTTTCAAAAACGCATAAATTTAATATTAAATATGAAATAATCGAATTGAACACATAGAAAAGATTGGCATATAGAAGAGATGAAGAAACTAAATGCGGATTTCTACTTCAATGCTGTCAAGTTGACAACAATTGAACATAAGTTGACAATCGGAATTAGGAAATAAAATAATATGTAGCAAACCGAAGGAAGGCATGATAAATTACAGAAAATGAGTAATAAAATTGATTAATCAAATTATAAAATTTTTAACACAAAAAAATATATAAAATTAATTATAGTCAGTTATAAAATATCTTACACTAAAAAGAAATGCATAAATAAATTAAATTTACACAATTACATTGAATAAAAATTGCTTTGACTAATCAACTTTATTATTCATTTTCTATCGTGTCTTTCTCCGGTTAAGTATTAGATTTTATTTCTTCGATTGTCTTCGATTGACTTCGATTGTCAACTTATACTCGCTTGACAACAAAATTTAATAGTCGGATTTAATTTAATTAACACTCGACTAATGTTTCATTCATATTGGAAAGTCCAAAACATTTTTTCTCTCACAGCTGTAGTGCAGGGATACAAAGCCAGACCTAATATACTCGTATTGTATTTATAAAGCGATAGAATATCACTTACAAACAATTAAAAAGTACTTACCAATGAAATTTAAAAAAATCCAAGTATGCTCGTTTTTTGAGTATGGTTCTGTGCGCGCATATACTAAACGACCATTTAAAACATTTGCATCACAGTAATTTTTAAGTGACATGTCGACACAAGGATAGAGTCTCTATAGGAACTTTAGTGTGCACCTAATTAAAGAGTATACAAATAAAAAATAGACCTTACATATGTATGTATACATACAAACTATCAGTACTAATTCAGAAATACAGTTTGTATGTATTATACATATTTGACTTCTAAAAAGTAGCAACCGCAGAAGCTCAATTTTACTTAATTTTTTACAGAGACAATTTTTACTTAAAAATATATTTGTTAAATGTAATTGTAAAAATATGTATATAATTGTAGATTTTTTAAATATACATAATATTTTATAAAATAATTGTTGGTTTAAATATTAATTTTTTTTATATATGTAAATCTCTTCTCTAAATTTAGTCAAAATTTAATAAACTATAAGGTAATTAAATTTATTTTAATTTTTCTTTTTCTTGATGTTTATCATTTTTATACAAAAAATCTTTGCATTATTTATGGAAGGATGTCAATGACATAAATCTCTATTGAAACTTTATTC